CCACTTTGATCTACCTGCCTCAGGGCCACCTGCCCACATCCACCTCATGAAACCCTCAGCTTGGCCAGCAGTGCTTGGTGTTCATTGTCCCAGAATGGGCCCTGCTTGTTCCACCTCCCACCACCTGACCACCTGAGGTCCCAGGGCCCTCTCCTCACACCCTCACACCCCCTGACCCACCTGAGGTCCCAGGGCTCTCTCCTCACACTCTCACACCGCCTGGCCCACCTGAGGTTCCAGCGCCCTCTCCTCACACCCTCACACCACCTGACCACCTGAGGTTCCAGGGCCCTCTCCTCACACCCTCACACCGCCTGACCTGCCTGAGGTCCCAGTGCCCTCTCCTCACACCCTCACACCGCCTGGCACACCTGAGGTCCCAGGGCCCTCTCCCCGCTCCTGGTTCTGACTCTGCTCTTAGTACTGTGAGCTGAGTTCTGCTGCTGAGAATAATCAGAGTCGGAGAATAGTGCCCCCACCTCCCACCTGACCAGTGGCTCTGTGGCTCTGGCCCGCAGGTCCTGCGGCCTTGCATGACTAACTGCTTTCTGGGTGTCATGTCCCCTGCTCAATCCCTGCCGGGCTACCTTGCTCCAATTGATGTTGTAGGAATCCTTGGGGAGCTGCTCTAGTGGCCAGGACCCTGTGACCAACACCAGCATCAGCACCAAGGGCAGCAGTCCTGGCCTCATCCTGTCCCTCCTCTGAAGGTGCACTACCGAGAGCCTGGTGCTGTGTTTCAACGCCCAGCCCTGCCATGGACATTGACCAATCCCCGAGCCACAGCCCAGCAGGGTGGTGTGGGAGGGCCAGTGGCAGGAAGCTTCAGCCCCCCAGCCTGCGTGGGAGGCCTGGTCTGGACCCCATTCTCAGGAGGACCCTGGACACTAGCTGTGTTTTCATTGTCACACTGACGTACCCCAGCCTCTGTGGCTCAGAGACCCACAGCCCTGTGCCCTCTTCATGCATGTCCCCTCCCAGCCCTGTTCTAGAACCTTCCAGAGAAGGCAGGCATGTCCTGAACACAGCCTGCCTGACACTGGGGCTCCTCACCTAAAGACAGGCCTCATGCAGAGTGTGGGGACCACCTACCACCTCGGGGCACAGAAGATGCTCGATAACTCTTTCCACTGTGATAAATACACTGTCACGGATCAAACTGTGTCCTCCAGGAGTAAGTGTCAGCTGGGCTGGGCGGTGGCCACATGTGAGGCAGTTATGGAACAATGTGTAACTTGGTGGTGAGGTGTGACCATGCCCCCAGCGTGGTCAGCAACAGACTGTGAGGGGACTAGGATGAGGTTCAGCACCCTGAGAGCCTCCCAGGGTGTGGCTAACATCACCTTTTCTCTTAAGAGACACCAGGAGACAGAAACAACCAGATTTATGGAGAGTGAACAGAGTGTGTCCTTGACCTGGGTCCTTGTGCTTAGAACCTTCTAGACCCATAGGCAGACTGCTGCCAAGACATGTGGAGACTTCCCAGCAACCTCAGGTCCATGGGTGCCACCCCCAAAACCAACAGAAAACCTTCCCTTTGAGCCTGTGCTCTGAATTCAGACTTCTGAATTGTGACAGAAAGCGTTCCCATCTGCTAAAGCCCTCCCCTTGTGGTATCGCTGTGACACAGCCCCAGAGAACTGAGACGTGAGTGTAACTAAGTTTACCATCTTCACAATTTTAAAGTCATACAACCTTTACGATGTTCTGTAGCCCTCATCATGCCGACACCTACCAATGTGGGTATCAGGCAGGTGACCTCCTCTCCACAGGATCTCCTTCCCACTAGAATGACCACCTCCACACAGAGCCCTTCCCAGTGAGACAGTCACCTCCTCACAAAGCCCTGTCCCCAACACTGGGCCCCCCACCTCCTCACCCCCAGCACTAGGCCCACCACTTTCCCACAGAACCCCCACAGAGTCTCCTTCCCACTAGAATGACCACCTCCACACAGAGCCCTTCCCAGTGAGACAGCCACCTCCTCACAGAGCCCCATCCCCAGCACTGGGACCCCACCTCTCCACATCCAGCACTGGGCCCCCCACCTCGTCACCCCCAGCACTGGGCCCACCACTTCCCCACGGAACCCCCACAGAGTGTCCTTCCCACTGGCCAGCCACCTCCCAGCTATATCAAGTGAGGGGCAGCCATCCTATACTAGCACTGTCCATACCCTCCTCAGGGCCCCTCACAATCTCTGTCCTTCACATGCCCTTGGTCCGGGCACTGCCCCCCACACACTGGAAAGACATTGTCCATGAGAATTTGGAACTGCTTTATTCTAGGCTGGAGTGAACTCAGGCAGAGAGAGCCAGGGGAGCACCAGACCAGTGTCCAGCACCACCGTGGAAGCCACAGCTTCACTTCAGACCCTGTCCCCCAACTGGAGCTCCAGCATTCACTGCAAAGAAGAGACAGTCAGGGGCCAGGTGGTCACCACCTCACAGCCCCAGAAGCCCAGCAGTCACCACTATTCCACAGCCCCCAGAGTCCAGGGATCAACCCCACTTTCATGACTCCAAGAGTCAAGGGTCACCACTTGCTTGACCTCAGAGCCCAGGGGTCACACCCACCCCTGTTGCCTCCAGAGCTTAGGGTCACCATCCCCATCCCTTGACCTCCAGTCACACACTGGCCATGGGACGTCCTTCCAGGCCCCAGGATGGTGTCTGAGAGCGGCCCACTTGCAGGATCTTGTGTGCACAGGTGACTAGAAAGGGAAGGGAGCCGTGAGGACCACCCCAGCCTCCCAGGACAGTCTGAAGCCCTGAAGCATGTGGGCCCTTCTTCCCCATCAGTAGGGCAGGGTCTGACCACACACCTCCACTGAGAGGTGACCACCTGGGTGCCTCACTTTAGCCTTGCTGGGCCTGGGACCCAGACCTGACTGGGCAAGCTGGCCCATGTCCCCAACCCTACGGTGTCCTCCCCAAGCCCCAGTACCCACAGTCCTCCTGCAGCTGGGACTGCTGATGGGTCAAATAGCCCAGGTCTCTGGTCCACTTAGAGAAGAGGTGCTTGGCTTTGGGGCTGGCCACCTGGGTCCGACCTGGGGGAGGGAGGACGTCTGAGAGCCAGTACAGGGGTGAACAGAGACCACTAGCCAGGCCTACCCTCTGCCCCAGACTCTCTCACCACAGCCTGGCCCCCACCTGCTCCCCACACCTCAGCCTGGCTCCCACCTGCTCCTCCACCACAGCCTGCACCCCCAGATGTTCCTCCCCCACAGCCTGTACCCCAGATGTTCCTCCACCACAGCCCCCTCAGGCAGTGACAGAGAGAGAAGGATCCAAGTGTGACCGGGATGACAGGCCCCACGGACAGTTCTGTGCAGAGTGAAGGTGAAAGCAGGCCCAGCATCTTCCACCAGGCCCGTCCCTCACCCCAATGGCCTTGGACTCTCCAGCTCCCAGCTGAGCCCCTAGGTCCAAGAGACCCCTCCATGAGGCTCAGTGGCCCCTAGGCACTCTCCGGTGGCTCCCCGGGAGGACACCCAGGGACAGTGGGCTTTGTGGGACCCTGGCCAGTCCTCACTGTACAGCTCCACCGTGTTGAAGGCTTCATCCCTCAGCTCCAGCTGCGTGAAGACAATGGCGTAGCCCTTGAAGTCGGTACTCAGCAGGCGATACTCCAGCACCCCCAGTGCTGAAACCAGACCCGGCAGCCAGTGGGGCCTCAGATGACCCACAGGCCCCAAACTGACCAGATCCCACCCAGCCTGGCACTCAGAGCAGCTCTGGTAGTTATATGGATGGACAGGCAGACACACGGATGCCTGGATACAGGCAGGCCCATCAGTGGCCCCACACAGTGGTATGGAGACTGCTCAGGTCTGGGGGTGCCAGGGCGATGCTGAGACTCTGTCCCGGGGGCTCTACACTCAGGATGGGCACCAAACCTCTGACCAAGTAAGGTCCCTAACAGCCTAAGAGATACAATCAGTTCACGCTTCCTCCAGTCACCCCCACAGCCTGAAATCAGAGAAGGTGGTGCCAGGGGCTGTCGGGAGGAGGCCTGGCCTTAACAGCCATGGGATGGGGACACAGCAGGGCCTGGGTCTGGGGGGACAGCTAAGGGGATACACAATGGCTGGGATTGGTCTCCCCGTCAGGGTCTCTGACAGTGGGGACACAAGAGGGGTGAAGAGACAGGGGCAAGGCACCTTACCTGGGTTCTCAAACACCCAGCCTGAGCCTTGCTTGAACAGCTCCACAGAGGTCAGCCTGCAGCCCTCCAACCTAGAGGAGATAGGCCTGTGGTCAGTGCACTGTGGACCCAGGGCCTGGGGTTGAGGGGGGCCAGAGCCCTGCCTCGCAGCCACGTACCCACCAGGGTGCTCAGGACTCTACCTCTTCCTGGTCCCGATTCCCCAGAAATTCAAATACATCAAAGGCCCTTGTAAGTGTAAACAGCTCACCCAGGGCCGGGGGGAGGGGGGACACACGGGACATTCTCCAGGATGCATGTCAAGTCACCCCAGCCCCACCCCAGCCAATGTGTCTGTGTATCCTGCTGTGGGGCTCTGTGTGTGGGATGCTGGAAGCCACGCCACTGGGATTCAGATCCGACTGGAAGCTCATCAGAACCTCCAGTCTCAGACAGACTAGGAAGTAAGGCCAGGCCATTTACTTGTGCGAATCAGTCCATGAGAACTCACAGGGACCCCCACAAGCATGGCTCAGCTCAGAACTTGGCTCGATATATAAACACTGTGCACACAGAGGCAGGTGGGGGTCCCAGCCCATGAGTGTCCCCGGTGGGAGTCAGGGTCTGTGCAGATGGCATCATGGAGTCCTGTGGCACACTGGTTAAAGTGTACACTGCTGACCACGAGGTCTGAGGTGCACATCCAGCAGACACCCTCTCTCTCTCTCTCTCGGTGTGTGTGTGTGTGTGTGTGTGTGTCTATGTGTGTTTCTCTTTCTCTCTGCCTCTGTCTGTCTGTGTATGCCTCTCTGTGTGTGTGTGTGTGCGCGCGCGCGCTTGCTTCTGTCTCTCTGCCATCAAACCAGAACCAATCCACCTCTGACCCTCCAGTGGGTTCCAGGACTGTCAATCACGTGAGAGGAGATTGTCTATCTTTCCCCCTCAGAGCAGATGATGGATTCGAACCACGAGACAGGGCACACCTTCGGGCAAATAGTACAACTCCCCAAGGAATCAGAAAGCCTATGGGCACATCTGCTCTACGAATTAGAGCCAGACAGACGTCTTCAGTTATGACGTCATTTGTCAGCATGATATCATTAGTTATCATGATGTCATTCGCCCAGAGCAGGAGGAGTGAACCTAGTCACAGCTGAGCGATTGACACAGGAGAGACAGCGAAAAGATACCACGTGACCAAGGGGACAGAAGCTGGAGTCTTGTGCCATCCGTGGCTGGCAGAGGGCATCACAGCCCTAGGCAGGTGGACATTCAGGGCCTTTTGTTTACCACGCCTTCATGAGGGCAGCAGGACACAGCAGAGTGGCCAGCTTCAGACACACTCATCACGAGGCCTAGTGGCCACACCAACCAGGCCCCGACTCACCCGCTCCGTGAAGCCAGCATCCTCAGCCTGTTCTCTGGGGTCAGGCTCACCACCACCCCTTCAATATTCCTTGTGATCTTTTCCTCTGCAAAGCCCCTCTCTCGAGAGGCCACAGCGAGGATGTACCAGGGCCCGAGGAGCTGGAGGGGGCAAGAGAAGGGCATCATCCAGGGGCCCACTGAGGCCCAAGTCCAGCCTATTCCCGAGCCCCTAGCACCCTGGGCAGTCTGGCCCCAGAACTGGACAGTGCCGGTACCTGCTTGGGGTTCAGTCTTCCCAGCCACAGGGCCTGAGCCCCGGGAGCCATGGCCAGCACCAAGAGCACCACCAGCCCAGCCCTCATCCCTGTGTCCACCACACACCAGCACCTCTGGCCTGGGGCCCATTTTTGTGGATCTGGGAGCCAAATTGTGGGTGGTCACTAATGACCAGACCACAGTCTTGATCTTGCTCCTCGCTGGCCAGTGAGGTGGACCGAAGGGAAGGCTCAGAGGCTCAGGGTCAGTGAGGCCAGTGAGCAGGGAGCACGGGTGGTGCCCACTGCCGCATCCAACCTCAGTGGACACTTGCTGCACTGACCCTGTGTCCTTGCTCCAGGGAACACCAAGTCGAGATTGCTGTTCTTGTTCAGCCAACCCCCTCTCCAAGCACCAGACTCTAGCCAGGAAAGTGGGAGTCACCCCTGACCCCAGCCTTTGGCCTCTGCCCACTTGCCCAAGGCTTTGCAGATGGGTCTCATGCTTCTGCTCGGAATGCTGGCCGCCCTGGACCGTACTGTTCCTCCACTCCCACGCCAGCTCACTCATGCCTGCATCTCTGGTCCAGCTCTTCCCACGCTCCTGGCCCAGACCCAGGGGCACACCAGAGCTCCAAGTCCCCTGGGGAGCTTTCTGCAAGCATGGGCCTTCTCGTCCTTGGTCAGGAACAGGAGCAGGGATTCAGAGAGTCCACTACACCCTGAGGGACAGAGCGGAGAGCTTAGACCAGGGGTCCCGAAGCCCAAGTGAGGTTCTATCTGTCACCTGGTGCGCTGTGTTCCCTCCAGGATCACTTGCTCATCTCCATCCGACAAGTATTCGTGAGGCTTGAGGCTGCAGCCACACAGCTCAGACAATCAGCTCCTCCGCCATAATCCTCCTCCCTGAACAAGGGCTCAGTTTCCCAAGGACCTCACTGGTCACTGCTCTGCGATGGATAGAAAGACAGATGATTGGCAAATAGATGACAGATAAACAAGGGGTGAATATATTATAGTAATAATAGACAGATGATAGGTAGGTAGACTGATAGGTAATAGATTAACAGCAAGGTAAGAACAAGATTAGAAAGGTAATATAAAGATAGATGACAATGATTGATAGATGATTGATCAGAGATGATCCCCACAGTGCTGGATAAATTATCTATTTATCTACCCAGATAGCTAGTTAGGTGGCAGATACATAAAAGGTAGCTGGGTGATAGATGCTTATCAGTACACAGATGATAAACAGACGGCTACATAGACAGATGACAGGTAGGTTGGCAGGTAAACAGATAAATAGAAACAAAAATCAAACCCACCACCTTTGAGTTATGCAAATTCTGATTTATAGCAACCCTGTAAGGCAGACTGGAATTGGCCCATAAAGTCTCCAAGACAGTAAATCTTTACCAAAGAAATGGGTCCCATTTCCTGCAGATTGATTAGTGGGTTCAACCCACTGATATGTTATTAATGGCTAAAAGCCTTGACCACAGCAGCAGCAGAGTTTCTTAGAGAGATAATGGGTAATAGATGAAGGAAAGGAGGGAGGGAGAAGGGGGCAAAGAGAGAGCAGAAGAGAGGAGACCTTGGGTTACCTAGAGCTGTTTTAGCAGAGGTAACATAAATGAATGGCTTTAACAGAAGTTCATTCTCTTACAGGTTAGAGGCTGCAAGTCCAAATTCAGGGCACCACCCGGAGAGGAGGCCTCTATCTCTCTGCTGGTAATAGAGCAAAGTCTTGCTTTCCCTCAGCATCTGAAGACCTTACATCCCATCCATGTGGCTTCAATTCTCAGGTGCCAAGGGTTTCCGTGCACAGAGACTCAAATCCAGAGGCCACAAGTCTCTCCTGGTTCTCCCATGGTGGCATTGGAGGGCTGCTACAGGCAGAAGCCTCCCTGCCTTGCTTTTCTCTCTCTCTTCTGAGACACTTGAGGGCAATTCTGATCAGGATTAAGCATCCTACCCTTAATCCTCTTGCAACTGCTGGCTTACCACATCAAGAGGAGTCATTGCATTCAGGTATATCCACTAGAGGTCTGATGGCTTAATGATGAGTAGCTGTGGTGCCTACACAAAGGCACTTGGTTCAAATCCACCAGCTGCTCCGCAGGAGAAAGCTGTACAGTCTCCTCCTATGCACTTTACAGCCTCTGAAAACCGGCAAGAGGGTCAGCTATGATGGGTTCCGAATCAACAGCACACAATGGCAACCCTTAATCCTCTTGTAACGATTTGACTTATCAGGTCAGAGGAATCACTGCATAACTTCCACATTAAATCATTCAGCTCAATTCAATTCATTTCTGTCGAGTTGGAACTAGCCCATATCTGACAGTTCATTGAGTTTTCCAGGGTGTAAACTGCATGGGAGGGCATTGCCCATCTTTCTCCTTTGGAGTCGCAGGTGAATTTGAACCACCGGAGAGGCACAGGTTCCTACAGACTAGGTCTCCAGAGCGCCCTCATCATTACATGCCTGCGTTTTGGGAGACACAGTTCAACTGGACAGTGTTGGCGTCTGTCTGCTGAGAAGACCTAGCAACAATGGCATCCAACTGGACTGGGCACACCCAGTACCCAGGTCTTTATTTCTCACTCCTCTTTAGAAGGGTGGCCAGTTGACTGGAAAAAGTCCATATTTGTTCACAGTCCCAAGAAAGAGGATCCAACAGAATGTGGAAATTATCAAACAGCAAAATACTGTTGAAGATCATTCAAAAGGGAACAGTGAATAAACAGAGAACAGCTAGGAGTTCAAACTGGCTTCAGAAGAGGCGGTGGCACCAGAAGTATGATTGCTGCTGTCAGACTGATCCTGGATGAAAGCAGAGAATACCAGGAGACTATCTGTTTATGATTTATTGACTATGTAAAAGTGTTGCACTGTGTGGATCATAAAAAATATGGCTGACATTGAGGAAAATGGAAATTCCAGGAACACTTATGTTTATACAAAATCTATACCCAGACCAAGAAGCTGTGATCCAAACAGAGCAAGGGAATACCACGTGATTTAAAATTAAGAAAGGTGTGTGTCAGGGCTTTATCCTTTCTCAATGCCTGCTCAATCTACATGCTGAGCAGATCATTCAAAGAGTTAGACTTGAAGAAGAATGTGGCATCAGGATTTGGCAAAGATTCATCAACAACCTGCATTACGCAGATTTATTGAAAACAAGGACTTGAGGTGCTTACTGCAGAAGATCAAGGACTACAGCTTTGATATGGATTTTATCTCAGCATCAAGAAAACAAAAGTCTTCACCACTAGGCCAATAGGCAACATCATGATAGTTGGAGAAAAGATTGAAATTGTTAACAATCTCCTCTTATTTGGATCCACAGTCAACATCCTTGGTACCAGAAGTCAGGAGATCAGGAGACATATAGCACTGGACAAGTCCTGAAGAGCAATGACGTCGGGTTAAAGATTAAAGAGCGCTTATTCAAGTGATGGTCTTTCTCTGAGAGCTGGACAATGAATGAATAAGGCTGTCTGATGAAGAATGGATGCTTTTTCGTTGAGATATTGGAGAAGAGTATTGAGTATCCCATGGACTGCCAAGAGAACAAACAGCTATGTCTTGGGTAAAGTGTAAGCAGAGTGGTTTTTTAGAGGCAAGGATGACAAAGCTTCATCTCACATACTCTGGTCATGTTATCAGGAGAGGCTGTTCATTGGAAAGGGACATCATGCTTGGAAGAGTAGAGGGTCAGTGAGAAAGAGGAAGACCCTAGATGGATTACACAGTGACTGCAGTCACGGGCTCAAGTGTGTCAGAGATTGTGAGGACGTCATAGGCTAAAACAGGCTTCACATTGCTGTCCATAGGTCACTATGAGTCATACTCAACTCGACGGAAGCCAACAGTAACTTCCCTAGAAATGGAAGTTTGAGTCCGTGTAAAATGTTCCAAGTCCAAGGCAGGAGATAAATGTGGGTAACTTGGAAAATTGTTCCACAAAGTAAAAATGTTCTCAGGAAATCATGGAAATATGTTTAAAAGATGCAGGAGTCATCCTGAAGGGGCTCCCAGGACCCATCTGCACAAGTTGTGCTTCAAAATAAACTAACAGTGATAATTACAAACCTCTCAGGTATAGAACTCTGGGCTGATTACATTTTCTTTTGTTTCTTATCAACACTTTATATGCCTTTCCATTGTCTGCCGATTTCTTCTGATGAGAAGCCAGCCATCACTGTCCCTGTGTTTGTATTATGTATTATGTCTATTGTCCACGCTGTTGTTGGGCGCTGTTGAGTCAACCATGGCTCATACAGACCGTATGGACAGCAGACCAGAGCCCTGCCCTCTCCAGCACCATCCTCACGGTCTCCGCCATGCTTGAACTCGTGGTTAGTCCTTCTGTCAATCCGCCTTGTGGAGGATCAGCTCTCTTTGTTGTTCCACTAGTCCACCATATTGCCGGAAGAGTCCATCCGGAAAATATTTCTCTTCAGTTATTGTGCTTTTCCTTTCCAGAATTTCCATTTGCTTCTATTTTACAGTTTACATTTCTCTGTGGACTTTGTCTACCTGTTTTCCCTGTCTGCTCCCTCATTACTTCCTTGTTCATTAATGAATTAATGTCTTAGTTCTAATAATGAGCAGACTTCAATATGGTTTGAAGCTCAAAATCAAGAAAACAAAGATTCACACCACTGGGCCAACTGGCAGCATCACGAGAGACAAAGAAGAGATTGAGATTGTTAACAGATTCAGCTTGCTTGGCTCCACAATCAATACTCTTGGTACCAGCAGCCAGGACATCAAAAGACAAATTACACTAAGAAAGCCTGCTGTCAGGGACCTATCCAGAGTACTGAGGAGCAATGATATCATTCTAGCAACTAAGGTGCACCTGATCCAAGTCATGGGCTTCACAATTACTTGCTATGCGTCAGATATGGATAACAGAAGAAACATTGATGTCTTTGAGTTGTGGTGCTGGAAAAGGGTATTGAACATACCATCAACTGCTAAGAGAACAAGTAGACCTGTCCTGGAGAGGGTGAAACCAGGCTGCTCCTTGGAGATAAGGATTTTGAAGCTCCATCCCAAATGGTTTGGACATGTGGCCAGGTTGGGGGGG